GTTGTCCAAGAGTAAGCTTTTTTACACCCACATTTTAAGCTTGGTGGTTCATCCATTTTATGTTTATACTACTGTGTATAAAACGTTGCTTGGTGGCAAACAATGCTTGGTCTATGTCAGAGTGACAGCCGCGCTCCATAAATCGGTCCACCATAGTAATAATATTTATCTCATCCTCTTATTATTTTTGTCCCTTTCCTTTCTTTATTTCCTCTTTTTTCTTTCCTTCCTTATACTTTATTCTTCATTTAAAAAAAAAAGAAGAAAAAAAACGATGATAATCCACTTGTTTTGCGGCGAAAAAATAATATCATCCTTTCCCATCTGGTCGTTAATTTTTAGTTCAAACATTATTTTCTTAAAAAGTGGAAAATATAAAATGATTATAACAATTTAATTAATGTTTTATATAAATTCTGGTGAATATTACTTCTAGTAAATATTTATTTACCTACAGGTAGAAATTTACATAATTATTTTTTTATCAATATACTAATTAAATATAAACTAATCATAAAAATTTACTTCTTATTATTTAAAAATTTTTCTTTTTTTGAATTTCGCACCAATACAATAAAATTCAATAAATTGCAGTCTAGATGCCATGAAAATTCGTTCCTAAACGAAGTGCAACAAATGGTGGCTAAAATTCATTCCTTTCAGTATAGTAAAATGAATAATATTGTAAATTACAATAATAAATAAATTGTAAATAATAGTGACTGATTTTTTGCTTTTAAATTAGTCACTTTAACCAATAAATAAGAAGAAATTACTATTTATTAGTAATTAAATTCCTCGAAAGAATCTAATTATTTTCAAACATTTTAATAAAAAATTAAATTTTCACACAATTTTAGTAAAATTTTTTCCAGAAATTCTATTATGTTTACAAATTAATAAAATTTTTCACACAAATTTAATTATTCAAAAAAAATTCTTTTAAAATTCGTTGTAAGAATACGATTATTTTGACAAATTAATAAAATTTTTCACACAAATTCAATTATTCAAAAAAAATTATTTTAAAATTCGTTGAAAGAATTCGATTATTTTCATAAATTAATAAAATTTTTCGCAGGATTTCAAATATTTTTAATACAACTATAAATAAATTCTTCAAAAAATGCAATTATTCTTTAAAATTTTATTAAAATTCTTTTAAAAGATTTAATTATTTTTAAATATTTAATATAATTCTCGAAAAGAATTTAATTATTTTCAAAAATTTAATTATAAAACATGAAGAAGTTACAAGAATATTAAGAATATTGTTATTGTAACTCCATCAAAATTATTTTCATCATTTCAATTCAATTATTATTTTCTAGAATTTTTAACTAAAATTCTTCTTTAAATAAATTAATTTTAATAAATTTTTAAAAAGTTGGTTAAGAATTTTCAGATCCATTTGTTTTCAATTCAATTTTACAAAATTTCAATTACATATTCGGAAATTCTTCAATATTAAATATATATTAGAAAATAAAAACTTTGAATAATTTTCAAATAATTCAATTATAAACTTTTCCAAAAAAATTAATTCTTTATATAATTGTTTGTTAAAAGTATGAAAATTTTTAATTTTCAAAGATTTTAATTTGAAAACCTTTTCATAATTCAATTTATTAAAATTTTAGAAAATAATTGAATTTTTTTGGAAAATTTTATAACGAATTAAGAAAAAAATTGATTTCTTTCGTGAACTTTTATTGAAAATAATTGAATTATTACAGATATTTTACTATTTAAAAAAATAATTGTATTGTTTCGAAGGATGAATTGAATTCTTTCGACGAATTTTAATAAAAATTTTTGAGAATAATTGAATTCTTTCGATGAATTATAATAAAACTTTTAAGAATAATTGCATTTTCGAGAAATTCAATTAAACTTGTATTATGAATAATTGAAATTTTGCGATGAGTTTTATTATTTATGAAAATAATTGAAATTTTAAGAATTTTTAAAACATTGTTTTTAAATAATTAAAATTTTGGAAGAATTTTATTTATTTATGAAAATAATTAAAATTTTAAGAATTTTTAAAACATTTTTTTTATCTAATTGAAATTTTTGAAGAATTTTATTCAAATTTTATTGTTTTAAATAATTGAAATTTTAAGAATTTTTAAAACATTTTTTTTAAATAATAATTGAAATTTTAGAAGAATTTTATTCAAATTTATGAAAATAATTGAATTTCAAAGAAGAATTTTACTATTTATAAAAATAATTGAAATTTTAAGAATTTTTAAAACATTTTTTTTAAATAATTGAAATTTTGCCAAGAATTTTATTCAAATTTTTGAAAATAATTGAATTTCGAAGAAGAATTTTATTATTTTTAAAAATAATTGAAATTTGGACGAGAATTTTATTATTTTTAAAAATAATTGAAATTTGGAGGAGAATTAAAAAAATTTTTGAACATAATTGAATTTTTAGAAAAGCCCACAATTTTCATTTTTTTCTAAAACTCTACCCAAAATTCCCTTTATTTTTTTTAATTAATTTAATATCTAATATTAATATAAATTAATATATTAATATTTATATTTAATATTAGGTTATAATTATAAAAATGTTTAAAAACGACAAGTTTTTGTCCTCATCTTTATACTTTGTAAAGGGTTTATCGCCCGTTTATACATCTAAATAAATAAATAAATAAATATCCTAATTATATTATTTACTAAAATATAAAATTTCGAACTGTAGTTACTTAATTCTCTATGCATTTAAAATTTGTACAATTTATTTTTGATGTTCAAAATAAGGGAAAATTGCATAATTTCTTTTTTAATCTAGAGAATAAATTAATTAATTATTCAAAATTAAGTAAATGTTTTATCATATCCTCGAGAATAATATAAAACTCTGCGCTCTCTTAATAAAAATGACGAGGAAATTCAACTATATAAGAAAGTTTTATATTCAACGGAATAACTAAAATTGTATGAATAATTGAAATAAGCAATTACGTTTATCTTTTGCTAAAAGAAAAACTGCTGCTCTCATCTGTTTTTCCTCTCTTTTATATACACATAACTAAATAACACTTTTTAAGAAAATTCATAATTTCTTAATAATATCAGTCAATTCGAATGAGAAATTTTTTATGCAAAAAGTGTATACAATAATCAAATAAGTTTGTTTGTTAGAGAAAAAAGGTATTTTTGTTTATTCTTGGTGAAAAAAATATATTATTAAAAAAAGTCAAAGAGTAAAAATGTTCATAATTAGGAAAGTAAAAAAATTACAAAGTAAAATAGTAAAGAAGTAGAAAAGTAAATGGTAAAAAAATGGAAAAGTTGAAAAGTAAAAAATTAGAAAAATAAAAAAGTAGTGAAGTCAAAAAATAAGAAAGTAAAAAATTAGAAAAGTAAAAAAATACTAAAGTCAAGCAATAGAAAATTAAAAAATTAGAAAAATAAAAAAATGTGAAGTCAAAAAATAGGAAAGTAAAAAAGTAAAAAATTAGGAAAGTCAAATAGTTAAGAAGTAGAAAAGTAAAAAGTAAAACAATTAGGAAAATGAGGAAGCAAAAAAGTAAAAAATGAAAAAAAGAAGTTAAAGAAAAGTAAAAAAAAATAAAAGAGTAAAAAAGTGAAAATCCGAATAAATACTAATAAATTTCAAGTTCAATCAGGAAAAAACGTTTATAAAAAAAAATAATCGTCTTCTCATTTAAACATTTCGTTCACTCTTGTATTGAACGTAAAATTTAAGCTAAAGCTATTGCAGAGACATTCTAAAATGGGGAGAGAGCGAGAGAGAATTTTCTACAATTCCCTGCGAATATAACTACATATTTGCTGCGTGAACAAGAATTTTGTTAATTCAACTGAACCATATCATATATTCCCACAAAGAGCAACCATTTCTGTCACAACTATATATTGTAGAAACAAAAATAATCTCAAACTCTGCAAAATTAAGCTACGTACTCCCTTGCGATAACAAAATTTTTTCGATTCTCTATTTTAAAATAAAAAAAAAGCAAAAAAAAAAAAATAACGAAGAAACATTCACGTGAATATTTTCCTACTGAAAATGTGAACGAAAAAAAAATAATGAGAACTATAAGATCAAAACATTAAATGAAAATAATGTTTCAACTAAAAATTAATGACCAGGTGGAAAAGGATTGAGATTATTTTTTCGACGCTTTTTAAAATTTCTTTTCGAAATTAAAAATGTTTTTTATAATTATTTTCCCATTTATTTTTTAATTAAATGGAATTAAATAAAAATTATTATTAAGAATAATTATTGAATAATATTAAATAATATTGAATAAAAATGATTAAATAATTATTAATGACTAATTTTATAATATTAAATAATAATAATTGAAAATTAAGATTAAAATTTATGCGTTTGCTGTTATTGTCACCCGTTATTATTTTTAATTAGAATGTTAATATATATGTTTAAATTCATATAAGAAAAAAATATGTTGAGATTTTCTCATTTAGTTCGCTTATTATCTGTTTTCTCTCTGGTTTTAATATTAAAAAAAAAGAATTATACGTTTTTAATATGTTTGGTAAAATTATTCAAAGGTACCTTGTGGATTTAAAATATAAAATATTCTCCACTTTAATTTCACTGCGTTCATTTTTATCCGGAAGGCTTTTTATTTTCGTGTACAACATAGAATACTGGAATTCGCAGTGAATGAAAATGTGTTATCAGAAAAAAAAACTATAAATAACTAATTTTTTTTTCGTTAAAATTAAAATTTGTTAACGTTCGAGATTAATTTTTCTTATTTGTAAAATTTAGTGAAAATAAATTTTTGCTTTTTTTTACTAAAAAATAATTGTCGAAATTCTTTGCTGAATGATCGACTTTTATGCTTTAGGAACTCGACACATAATGTGTTTCTTGACTCACTGAATCGAAAGTGACATTAAATTTTCAAAATGGCTGATCAAATGTGGCGTCAGATTGTATTTTGAATTAAGCTTCATGACTTTTGGGGTGAAACTTACCTGCAACAAGTTTTCTCCTTGCTGAAGGCGCGAGCGTCTATTTGAATTAGCATTGGTTAAAATTACCTGCAACAAAAATTATACCACATTTTTTAGGTCACTGAATTCAAATTCGCAATTAGAATTTTCTTTCTTAAATTAAAATAAATCCGTGAGTAAAGTTACAGTTACAATTTTTAGAAATAATCAATTATTTTATCACGCATATTTTTATATTTAAATTTTAAATAATTAAATTCTCGTACATCTTTTTGATAAGAATTAATTTGAAAAAGAATTTCAGTTCAAATTTTAGAAAATATTTCAAAAATCGAAAAAATTGCAGAATTATAATTTTCAGAAATAATTAAATTTCAAAAGGTTTTACATTGGAATTATTTAAAAATTTTAATTCTTGGTTGACAAATAAATAACAATAAGTTTTCAAATATTAAACAAAACTTTAAGGAAATTTGACAAATTTTATTTAGAAATTCTAAAAAATGAGGTTTTTAAAAAATCGAATTTAAATTTTTTTAAAACAGTTGAATTCACGAAAATAATTTTAAAACATTGAAAAAATAGGAAATTTTCTCAAATTTCACTAAACTAAATTTTATATTTCAAAGAATTTTATTTTCTCACTTTAAAAAATTATTTTTAAATATGTATTATTTTTTTTTTTTTTAAATTGTTAAAATTTTGAAAAATAATTGAATAGTAGAAACATTATAACAGGAATTTTAAGAAATAATATTTAAATGTTTATTTACAAAAATTATTAATATATTATTTTTCTTTAAAAATTATTAAAGTTTTGAATATTTTAATTCAAAAATTCTGAAAAATAATTGACTTTTGGAAAAATTGTAGTTATAATTTTTAGAAATAATCAAATCTCATAAGGTTTTACAATAAAATTATTTGAAATTTCAATTAAAATAAATAACAATAAGTTCAGAAATTCTTTTTAATAAAAATTATAGAAGTTTTGAATAAAGATAATGTTGAAATTCTAAAAAAAATTAGATTTTTGGAAAATCATAATTAAAATGTTTGAAAAATAGTTAAATTGCCGAAAATAATTTTAAGCAATAATTGAAAAAATAGAAAATTTTCTCAAATTTCATTAAAATAAATTTTGTATTACACAGAATTATATTTTCTTACTTTTAAACATTATTCTTAAATAGTTGTAATTTTTAGAAATAATTAAAATTCAAAAGGTTTTACATTGAAATTATTTGAAATTTCAATAAAATTATTAAACAATAAGTTTTTAAATATTATTGTTTAACTAAAATTATTTAAGTTTTCAATAATTTAATGTAGAAATTCCAGAAAAACTAGGTTATTGAAAAATTGTTATTACCTTTATTTTGAATTTAATTGCATTCCCGAAAATAATTTTAAAAAATTGAAAAAAGAGGAAATTTTTTCAAATTTTATTAAAATAAATTTCATATTTCAAAGAATTTAATTTCTCAACTTTAAAAAATTATTTTTAAATTTAAATGTATTTTTTGAAGAATTGTAACTAAAAGTTTGAAAAATAATTAAATTTTACAAAAAATTTGGAGTTTAAATAATTCAATTATCGTTGAATTATAATAAGAATGGATTTAAAAAAAATGCAGTTGAAATTTTGAAAAAGAATTGAATGTTAGAAGCGTTATAACAGGAATTTTATAAAAAATATTGAAATTTTCAAAGTTTTTTAACTTGAAATCTTTTTAACATTTTAAACGACGTAAAAGTATAATAATATTTAAATAAATTATTAAAGTTGTGAATAATGTTATTGAAAAATTCTAAAAAATAATTTACTTTTGAAAAAATCGCTTTTGTAAGTTTTTAATTTAAAAATTGATAGACTTTTGTCAAATTTCATTTGAATAAATTTTATACCTGAAAGAATTTAATTTTTTACTTTTAAAAATTGTTTTTAAATATAATCGTAATTTTCAAGAAGTATATTACGAAAAATTACATTTTGTAAAAAATAATAAATTTTCATTACATTTCAAAAAGAAACTTTTTGTAACAAACAAGTGATGCCAAAATTTTGTATATATTTATGCCATTTTTATATAATATAATTCGTATATCTAGACTATAATTTTATCATAAAATTATCAAAATCAAATTCAACAATTATAGCGTAGAACTTTCAGAATTTTTTAGCATTAAATCTTCCGCGTTTGCAAACGCATTTAGCAAACAAATTTAAAAAATTTTTCAAACAACATAATTTATCAAGTGCTCGCATATTTTATACATATACATGTACATATAAAAATCTATATGTAAAACATTTATAAGTCACTTCTGGCATGCTCTCGACGATAAGAAACTAAAAAAAAAAAAGAAAAAAAAAGAATTAATCACCTTTCATATATACATAAAAGGTCTGCGTGACCTAAACGCTGCGTTTTGCATTTGCATATCGTTAGACGCAGGCTTGTGATATAAATTTCGGGATTTACTTCAAGTGTCTAAACTGCACTAAACTTAGAAACTTTTCTATATAGGAAAAACTTCGACGTCTTCTTTATATATTATTCAGGATTTTAAATAAGAGAGAATATATTTTCTATTCTAATTCTGTCAGTTGAAGACGACACGAAATTTAATATAGAAACCGAGGGGTTAACCGCGTGCGCGCTCCTCTTGTCATTCCAAAACATTTCCCAAAAAAATAAATTATTTACTTTTTTCCCCTGTCTATTAGTTGTGACAGAACCGCAATTTATGTCCAATTCTCACGACACACTATTTTTGTTTTTATTTTCCAAATCCACTTAAATCAGTATTTCCTGTTTTCTAATTAGAAAACAAACACTGAAAAAGATTTTTTGAACTGACACTAAAAAGAGAAAGAAGTAAACATTTCTTTTCATTTCTTTTTTTTTTTTTTACTAATTAACCAAAAACTGTCACGGAAGAAAGAAAATTAGAAAAAAATCTATTAAACAATATGCAAGGTTGGTATTTTTATTGAATTTAAATTAAATTTTATAAATTTTATTTATTATAAAATATCAACAATCAACATTTTATGGAAATTAGGAATAAAATTATAATTGGATATTTCGTTTCAGTTATTTTATTTTCCTTTAATTATTAAACTGTTAAACCATAAATTGACTCTAATGTCTAAATTAATAGAAATCCTTTTTATTTTTATTTATTTATTTTTTATTCTACTTTTTAATTCTATTTTTTGAAATTGTTTTTAACTTTATTACTTTTCTACTATTTTTCTTTTATAATCATTCACCTTTTTACTTTTCAAATTGTTTTTAATCATTTGAATTAGTAAAAGAATTTAAAATTTTTAGATTCTGAGAGTAATAGAATTTAATAATTTTTATTATTATTATCATTATTAATATTATAATTATATACTAAGAAAAATTATTTGAGTCAAATAAAAGATTACTTGACTATTATCAATTAAATATTTACACGAATCAAATAATTTTTATTTGAGTCAATTAAATGGTATTTAAACCAATAATTTCAGTAATTAAAGCAAATACAATTTATTTCTACATGATTGTTAGTTAAAAGAATGAAAAATTCACATTTTTAAAGATTTTAATTAGAAATCTTTTCAAAATTTAATGATTTCTAAAAATTCATGTTTTTATGCTTTTAATATTCAATTATTATTTAAAATTTTAACTTAAATTCATTTTTAAATAAATTTTTATTAGAAAATTCTACGAGAATTCAATTATTTAAATATAAAAATAAATAATTTATTGAATAATTGAACGTTATTTAAGAAATGAAATTTTTATAAAGAATTCTATCAACGAATTTTTAAATAACTGAATTCTTTTGACGATTTTAATAAAATTTTTAAGAGTAATTACATAGTTTTCGAGCAATTCGATTAAAATTGGATTAAAAATAGTTGAAATTCTACGATGAGTTTTATTATTTATTGAAATAAAAAAATGTTTGCATAGAAATAAATAATTGTTTTTAATAATTGAATTGAGGAAAAGTTTTTAAAATAATTAAAATTCTGACAAGAATTTTATTAAAATTTTTGAAAACAATTGAATTTCAGAGAAGAATTATTATTCATCAAAATAATTGAAATTTAGACAAGAATTTTTAAAAAAATTTTTATATAATTTGAAGAATTATAAAGAAATTTATTAAAAATCTATAAATAATTGAATTCCTGTGAAATTTTTATTATTTATGAAAATATTTAAATGTTTTCGTAGAATTTTATTAAAATTTTATTTTAAATAATTGAAATTTTGCCAAGAGTTTTATTCAAATTTTTTAAAATAATTGAATTTCAAAGAAGAATTTTATTATTTATGAAAATAATTGAAATTTTAAGAATTTTTAAAACATTTTTTTTTTGAATAATTGAAATTTTGCCAAGAATTTTATTCAAATTTTTGAAAATAATTGAATTTTTAAAACTTTTTTTTTAAATAATTGAATTTCAAAGAAGAATTTTATTATTTATGAAAATAATTGAAATTTTAAGAATTTTTAAAACATTTTTTTTTTTGAATAATTGAAATTTTGCCAAGAATTTTATTCAAATTTTTGAAAATAATTGAATTTTTAAAACTTTTTTTTTTAAATAATTGAATTTCAAAGAAAAATTTTATTACTTATGAAAATAATTGAAATTTTAAGAATTTTTAAAACATTTTTTTAAAATAATTGAAATTTTGCCTAGAATTTTATTCAAATTTTTGAAAATAATTGAATTTTTAAAACTTTTTTTTTAAATAATTGAATTTCAAAGAAAAATTTTATTACTTATGAAAATAATTGAAATTTTAAGAATTTTTAAAACATTTTTTTAAAATAATTGAAATTTTGCCTAGAATTTTATTCAAATTTTTGAAAATAATTGAATTTTAAAGAAGAATTTTATTATTTATGAAAATAATTGAAATTTTAAGAATTTTTAAAACATTTTTTTAAATAATTGAAATTTTGCCTAGAATTTTATTCAAATTTTTGAAAATAATTGAATTTCAAAGAAGAATTTTATTATTTATGAAAATAATTAAAATTTTAAGAATTTTTAAAACATTTTTTTT